AGACGGCGCTAATTGTTGATGCAGAAATTTGCCCTTCTGTGACTTCGCACCAATCTTCTAGAATAAAAAGGGACCAATGTTACCTGCAAGGCAGAATAACACTAATACAGATGTGGCTCCTACCACACGGACTTAGATGCTTAAGTTAGAATCGGAGTAATCAAGTATATAGAGTAGGGTAGTTTAGTCATACCTCTAGGGTTGGGTTTACCATTCTATTTATAGATGTCGAATCCTGATACTTCTAGAGAACTCATAGGTCAACTTATAGGCTCGTGTACTTCGTTGTTGGCTCAATGCGCATCGGGAAAGGTTCGAGCCAGAATACCCAAAATTGGATCCCGGGTTGGCTATGGCTGGTACGGGTTGTCGGGTTCCAGCCTCCTTACCTAGTCACGAGCCTGCTCCTTTCTTAACCCGACTTCCATCTTCTGTTGTTTTATCTGATCTCCTTTTATCTTTCCATAACATACTCTATTATGTATCTCTCTTATATGTCTTAATGTTGGACTTAGTTTAAGAACTGTTTATGGTATTGCTTAAGAGTAGTTAGTTTGTGGTTGGCTAAAATCATGTCACAGAGTTTCTATGAATCTGTGTGGGGGAATGAGTTACATGTTAATTGTTTACTTGCTAGTTGTTGAAATTAATTGTTTTGTATTGTTGCCTCATGATAGCATGTTTATTGTGTTGAGAAAATAAATGTGCACCTTTGTTGTGTGTTGAAAAGCATGCTGTAAATTATTTGTTGTGGCTATATGGATTGGTAAAGTATGCTGATTGTTGTAAGAACTATTATGCTTGTGTTCTTTATAATGGGAGCGTGCTGGTTATTGTTACAACTATATGTTGTGGGTATTATGTCGGAGAGCATGTGTTAGAATCCTAGTTGGAAGCTAAGAGTGGTATGTAAGTGCTTGGTTTGTTATTGAAAGAGAATGGGTGAGTGTTAGGACCTCTGGTGTAGATGGTCTGGGCTGATATGTCACAAATTGGGTATCGAGGCTTCAGGTACAAATGGTTAAGGTCGATATGCTAATTGGACTAAGGTGAGTGTCGAGGCCTCGGGTATCAATGTTCAAGGGTCGATATGATGGGTATTGATGGAAGACAACTGTTGGGGCTTTGGGTGCAAAGAGTCAAGGGCCCATAGATCGTCAAGTCATTGAAGTCTTGGGTACAAATGGTCAAGGGTCGATGCAGTAGTTTGAGGCCTTGGGTACAAATGTTCAAGGTTCGAATGCCAAGTTTCTATAGAGGAGTGTCGAGGCCTCGGGTACAAATGGTCAGGGGTCGATACGATTCGAAAGAGTTAGTCTTGGAGAGATGAATGAGTTGGAATGTGACCGGTAGGAACTTGAGATAAATTTAGAAGGCTTGAGAGAGCTAGAGGCTTACTGAGCCTCGTAGTTGAGAACAGTTGTATTGTGTATCTTGAATGAATGTTGTTGAGCTTGTTAAATAGATATGTCCAATTATGCATGATTATTGATTTAATATGTTTTTTTTTTAATATGTGTTGTTTAGCATGTTGTTGTGTGTAGTTAGTGAGGGCTACTTACATTTTCAAATATTGTTTTCAGGTGATGTTTATGAACATGGTGACGGTGAGAATGAGATCTGACAAAGGAGGATGATAGGCTGTGTTATCCATTTTTGTAGTTAACAGGATAGGTTGTTCAATATTCTTTTGTTAATAGGGCAGTTTTTTAAGAGTTGTTGTCTAGGGGGAGGTTTAGTTGAAATTCTTATTGTTTTGCATAATCACCTTGAATTGATGGTTTTAGTTGTTTTATTACGTTCCTCAAGATAGTTGGAGAGTTAAGTTTTGTTTTCCTATGGAGGGCAAGATGATTCTTTTAGTCTTACGTGAGCAGTGCACAGATTTTAGTGAATGAATAAATATGTGAACTTTCCCGGTTTTTTTTAGTTGATTTTATGCCTTCAAAAGAGAGGTTGAGCAGGTAGGGTTATTAATATGGGGCAACTTGAAATATGACAAAAAAAAGTTAGAAAAATAAGCAAAATAGCAACAAGGTTTGAGTTTTTCAAATATAGCATTTTTTTTAAAAAAACGGAGGCCTACGTTGTAAATTACAAGTATACCCTGCAGGCTCGAACCAACAATAAATTACTTTTGATTAACTTCTGATATACTAATGATTGCAGATATACTCCTAATATATATGTGATATATGTTTGATATACATATGGTTTGAAATTGATTTACTTATGATACAACTATGATATCTACTACTATAGGTGATATAGAATTGATTGACTTCCGATATATTATTGATTTACTTATGATATACCTATGATTGACATATATACTCTTGATATATATATGATATATGTTTCATGTACATTTGATATGAAATTGATTTACTTCTGATATAACTATGATATATACTACTATAGGTGATATAGAACTGATTGACTTCTGATATACTATTGATTTACTTTTAATATAACTATGATTGATAGATATACTTCTTGATATATATGTGCTATAGGTTTGATATAGATATGATATGAAATTGATTTACTTCTGATATAACTATGATATCCACCAATTATTTCAAACATATTACCTCTAATATATATTTTCTGATATACTACTTATATATGAAATAATTTTTTTGTTCAGATAAAAGCAATGGTACAAACACGAAAAATGAAATAAAAAAGTATCGTCCAAAATGTTGATGTCGTTAGTCCCAAAAGACAATATAAACCAACGCCAAAAGTGTTGTCTATGGAAAAACGGAAAGCTTCAAAGATATTATCTCCGAAGACACGACAATCACCAAGAACGAAGATTGATGTTCCAAGCTTTTACCTAAAGATTATACAAGAATGAAACTTACGCTTTTCTAGACTGTTGGAACTTATGCTTCTTCATTATAGAATTTTAAGAATGACATTGTTAGTCTACTTTTGGTTTATGCTACTGGTTCGTTTTGATGTTTAAACCTTTTGAGTTTTTGGTTGAAGGACTTTGATGCTGATTTGATGTTGATGTTGATACCCAAGAATGATGTTTAAACCTTTTAAGAATGACATTGTTGCTGATTTCGTTTTGATATTTAAAACACTTTAAATAAAATTTAATTGTACTAGTGATATATGTACGATGTATACTTTATATATCACTGATATATTATTGATATACAAAAAAACCCTAAGTTTCTATTTACCTATCCTTTCTAATTGATTTCTCATTCACAGTAACTTCGAAAATCACCATTGACGTTCACATTCACGTTCCTTTCAAGTTTTCTTTCTCATTTTTAGTAAGTATCAATTTTTCTCATGCATGTCAATACCTACTGATTTCTAATTGATCAAAAAAAAAATTACAAGACAAAGGGTTAAAGCAGGTAAAATAGTGATTTACTATTATACAACTGATATAGAACTGATTGACTTCTGATATACTATTGATTTACTTCTGATATACTAATGTTGTCAGATATACTCCTGATATATATGTGATATATGTTTGATATATAATAACGAAGCGATAACTGAAAAGGATAATTTGGGAATACTGAAAATTTTAAAATCCGGATTTTCAAAAAAATGCTATATCTGAAAATATAAAAAAGGCATGCTATTTTGTTAAATATAGAAAACTTATATGCTACCCATTACAAATCCCCTATTAATATTCCCCGGGTGTGTTGTTCAAATATGGGGGCGTTACAATAAATGTCATCTTTAAATTTCCAAAAACCATTAAGATAAATTACAAAAAAGATCCGTGAATTTTTGTATTTGTTTAAAAAATATCCTATCCTTAGAAAAGTCTCAATACTACCATTTCACCTTTCGTAAATGTTTAAAAAATACCCTTTAAGCAAACATCCACACATATTTTGACGTGGTAGAATTAAGACGATACGACAACTAATATGGAAGCTTCCTTGGAACAATTATAGCCAACTACAACAAATATAACCTTCAATAACAGTCGAAAAAATTCGTGAATAGAAACAATGACAGGCCCATAATTGACCATTATTAAATGATAATTTGTAGACATATGATTATCATATATATATATATATACATATATATATACAAGATAAAAAGAGGAGACATTACTTTTCAATTGAAAATATTAGGGATCACATGGAAAGGTAGTAATTGAATAGGGCCAGGTATATAAAGACAAAAAACTCATGAAGACTTTTAAAAACTATGAACCAATTCCCTAACTCTTTGCTGATAATAAGATTAAAAATGTTACTCGAGTAATTGCCGTGATTTCACCCCTCTTTCGGGGATGCATGTTGGTACAAAAATAGACTATATTAGAAAAAGTTGATGATGTGTGGGATCCCATAGCACAAGTGTCAGGTCCATATTTAAAGAATGAAAACTGTCATTCCTTGTTATTTCTAGGCATGGCTTCTTCCAAGAGATTGGCAACCACCATATCCCGGACTGCCTCTTGTTTATATTTTCTCCTCATTTTCTTCCAAATCCCTCTTTTCAGGTAATTTCATAGTTTTCTGTTCTATCAATGCATGGATCTGCAGTTTCAAATTCACACTAAAAAACAAGAGAATAAATGTTTTATTACTTGATTTTGTTGGAGGATAGGGTCCCATGCTGCAGAGAGGCATCATGCACAACGCCATTAGAATTGACATGCTCCCAATTGTTAGCAAGTGAGATCTTTCCCACACATGTTGTGGAAGCACTTCTGTATCCTGGAGCCATAACCAAAGCCATCCTTAGAAACAGGCCCATCCCCACCTTTAATAGCTTGCCAAAGCTATACAAATTTATACATCTAAAATCACCAACTTCAGCATCTCCACTCACATCTGATCTCCACCGCTTAGAGGTACATATGTTTGAGGGTAGCAAGATCTTTTATGTATTTTCACCTAAAATTTTCACTTCTATAAACTTATGTCATATAAGTAGTATATTGTTTTTTTTTTTTTAAAGTGGGAGTCAGGAGCTTTTCCTTCCCTATACCCAGGGTACCCATAGGCGTTTGTATCTCCCCACCCATCTTTTGTTTTACAGATCAACTCATCTCTTGTTTTTTGGTGGAAGCAGGTTATTGCAGGGAGTTACTTGGCCGTAGCAGGAGCTATCATGGGCATGGTTAGGCCTGGGAGTGGGAGTGGGAGTGGGAGAATGAGTCTGTTTGGTTGCCTTATTGCTATGTGGGGTATTGTTAGGAGCAAACCTTCATATTTAAATCCCAAAGCAGAAATTAGCAGAATCTATCCAACCATGTTTGTTGCTGTGGTTTTTGCTTTCTTGTCGGTTAGGAAAGATGTGAGGAGAATAGTACGCAGCATCAGAGATGAAGGCAACCCTTCATGGAAGAAGCCCAAACGCAAATGAACTCTAAGATTCATGAGAATGGGATATGTTTGTTTAAGAGGAAACGTGGTAGCGTGATCTTTTAATTCTAAAAATATACAATCCTAAGCATAGCCTTAAATTTTTATAGAGGTGAAAAAAGTTTTTCTTACTTTTTGTAGCAATTACTCATGTGCAATGCACGTTTGTCCGCAAATTTCATATTTTAGTGTATTATTTTAGCAAAACTTTAGTGTAAATATTGAAAATCTACGTAAATAATGTGAACTAAAACTTTTCAAATACTCAAATCATTAGAGGTGGCTTTATGTGAAAGGATGTGTGGTCATATAAATACATCTCAACCTCATCCGACACCTTGACCTGAACAGTTGCATCACGTCTCAAGATCAACCAATTCGTGTGACCCAAAAAGTTTGCAAGACATGATAGGAATTTATTAAAAAAAAAAAGATCAAATTAGGAAAGCAAAGACTCTCCTCCATATGGCTATGCATTTACATACAAATATATATATTACAGGTTTTAAAATCCACGTAAACAATGTTGAAACCACCATTGATGCTTTATGTATGATATTTGCAATGTATGTGATCTAAAACTTTACAAATACCCAATTTTAGAGGTGACTTTGTGTGAAAGAATGTATATAAGTACTGATTCTCCACCACTCTGTTAGATTCACGTGCATTGGTTCATGATTTAAACATTATTCAACATAATTTTTTCTTGAACGAATAAACTTTTTATTGAGTTTAAATATTAAATATTTGACAAGAATTTAAAAGTAACGAAAGAGGAAAAAATGGTAAGGACGTATAGATAATTAAAATTTGAGTATCCAATTAAAATGAAATTTGTAAATTAAAATTGGGTTATCTTTGTGCAACGGAACGATAGGGAAGGACATGCACACAAGGAGACAGGCACTTTGACGCTTAAGTCAGTAAGGAGGTCGACCTCAATATTAAGATCGAGATAGCTTCATATACCTGGCTGTAGAGTGGGGCCCCCTATTTATAAGTTTGGGTGTTCGATAGCATATCCGACCGATGGTTGAGCATGTCAGATTTCTACTATTCCTACCAGAGATGGTTGTGCTGGTTGTGTGGAGTTCGAGCTTTAGCACACGCTTATCTTTTCAAGTAAAATTGATCGTTCATGGGACGAAACGAGCATCTGAGACGATTCTATCAGTTAGCTATCCTACTCTTTCGGTTCGGTTATCTGAAACTACTAGGTTATCGTACACTTAGTGTCCTCCACATGACAATGCTATTTTACACCTCCAATATTGACCTCCTCTCTAGTTGGTTGAGAATTTGACCTGGTAGATAAGTTATTTCTCTTCGTGCTACAACTGACCACGTGGTGACCTTGCTGTTTCTCGAAATTGATATAAATATGGCTGTTGGGAAGTTGAACAGTCAATTTACTAGTTGGCTTGCCTCAGGCTTATCGCTCGACTCCTAATCTTGATCATTGAATCTTGTCTACGTCGAGGATTGAGATGAGTTTGGATGGTTATGATAATTCTCCAAAAGAGAGTTATTTGGGTAAGAATTCCATATCAATTAACTAAGGATAGCCACACAAACACCCACTCTATAGTAATTTTTCGCAAAGAATGATCTAAATTCGCTGTCGTCTATAACTTTGTTAACAATATTGAAAGCTATAAAAATGACATAATTTCCAGTGTTTTGATGCAGCATAGTTGATGCTGCAGCATCAGAATCCAAAGGAAGCAGAAAACGACCAAAACTGACAGTGACACAGCTTTACCCTAGGAGTTACCATAGTAACTCGGAGAAACACCTAGAAGCGTGAGAGCTGGGCGCCCAATCTGTTTTGTTGCCCTAAAAGCAGTGAGGGTATAAATACTTACAGTTAAGATTGTCTCCACACATTCCCCAACCATCATTTCACTATCACTTTAAGAAACCTCCCAACGGTTTGAAGAAGACAAAAAGAAGAAGAGGAGGAAATTCGTAGAAGCTTCAGAAGACAGAGTGCATATTCGGAGCTGATATTCCTCAGCTCCATCTTTTTCCCTTCAGCTTTTCTTCTTTATTGAACCCATTATTTTTTTCCGTCTTTCAACTTTTTATGGTCGTGCGTAACTAAGTCTATATTGTAAGGGGAGGATTTTGTGAACCTTACTTCTGTTTTTAATAATGATATTGAGTTGAAGTTGCTTTTATTGTTTGGTTTTCAATGTGCTTGATCAACATATTGAGATATCTCTTTATTAACTCTTGGAAAAGTGTAGCAGGGAGTGTTTGGCTTCAATTCGTGCAAGATCTACTTGAGTTTAGAGTGTGGGTACTTTGGAATAAGGCTCACCTAGTAAGGCTATAAACTGAACTAATATACTTTCATTGTTACTTTAAGAAGAAGTCACTTTAACTCTTCCCTTTTACCCTTGTTATATCAATAGTTAACCCCCATTAAGCTCGTTTTACTTTATAGCTGGATTGACTTGTCATTTTGACGTGTTTTCTTACACAGTGAGTGCTTTTTGCACTATTTTGATTTAGTTTCATAAGCCACCTTATTAAACGTATTTTAGTTGAGTTGTTTGTTTTCTTAAGTAAATTATCGAAGTGTTTAGTCATCAATCCCTGTGGAGACGATCTTTTCATTACATGCTATAACGGTTGTGTATACTTGCACAAGGGACATAACTCGTTCAACAAGTTTTTAGCGTCGTTGCTGGGGATTAATTTTACTCTACACTTTATATATTTTTTTACTTAAGAAAATCGGTGCTAGAAAGAGTTCCTTTAACTCATGTTTGGTGAATCCTGAAGGTGAATGCACGATCTACAAGGCTTGGAATATCTACTTGACAACGAGATAAAACACACCTTGAAGGGATCGGATCCCGCAGCGGAAGCGCGCGAACGCGTGTACTTCGATCTTATTTTAGAATTACAACAAAGAAAAGACATAAGCATGAGCAAGGAGTTAGTTAGACATACCTTTGAAGACACCTTTTCAATGTAGATAGCAACGCCACCACAAAGTCTCCTCTTCAAAGGTATGTATCAACGCCACCACAAAGTCTTCTTCGCTATCCTCTGGACGTTAAGAACTCGATTTGTTGGAACCGTCTTATAATTGGAAGGGAAATCGAGAGAGCGAGAGAGATTTTCTCGAGAACCGGGGACCAAAACGGAAGGGGAAGTGACAACTTCACGACTCACCACTTCCCCAGTTCCCACCATTAATGGTGGGAAATGGGAAAACCTCCCTACAGGTGGAAAGTGTGAGGTTTTTCCTCCCATTTTCATTTTCCATTTTTTCCATTTCTTTATTTTAATTTAATTAAAATTATTTTAATTACATTAATAATTAATTACCAAAAAAATGATTAATTTAATTAAATTAAATCAAATTTAACTTAACCAAATTAACATAAGTCATTAATTTAATTAAATCATATTTAATTAAATTAATCAATATATCCCATTAATTTAATTAAATCATATTTAATGAAATTAAAATTAAATTAATTAACTATATTAGAATCAAATTCCAATATACATCTCTCTCATAATTTTGAATCCAATTCAAAAATTAACCTTATATTATAATGTATCGATATATATTATGTTAATTGCATCTCATACAATTAACTTTAATTCCCGTTAACAAATTTGAACAATTCGAATTCTTTTCAAGATTAAATGTTATTAACTATCCTTTACGAGCTAGCAAGGGGACCTAATGGACCTACGGATCGGAAGCTCAAACGATACGAGATGAATTGATTAAACTCATTAACTATATTAATCAACATTCGTTAACTGTTGGTCACTCCACTAAAGACCCACAGTTGCACTCTTCTCACTGTAGAATATTTTGCGTCCATGGATTTTGATCATTAACGGTAAGTCAATCCTTCACGATGTTTGTAACCACAACTGGGTCAAATTATCGTTTTACCCCTGTGTTACATCTTGTACCTTAAGTACAGCTGATCCTCTAATGAAGAACCTGGTTATGGTCCAACCAATAACCGGAAGTCCCTCTTGGGCCAGTGAGAGGGTGGGGCCCCTTATTGAAGTCCCGGAGTCAGCACTCAAGAGAATACTCATCTACTTATCCAGAAGTCGAGAAGGAGTGAATTTCATCTTGTGTAGTTATGTTCCCAGCTCCCCACTCGGTCTCGTCCCCAAAATGGTAGGCATATCGAGTTGGCGACTTGAGCCACTCTCACCCATACAAATCAAAGGACGAGCCCTAACAGGCAGGAGTCCATAACTCACTCAGGATTGAGATCGAGTTACCTGGTCATCCTATCGAAATATTAATCTATTAGGGAACGATGTTATAGCTAAAGAGTAATTATTTCATGGTCCGATCTTATACAAACTCATTGTATAGGATACCCCCACTCACATGTCTCCACACGAACGACCTGGATCAAGTCATTTGTAACTATTACAAAGTGGGTTGTGTCCATAGTGTTACCACGATAAGGTACCCAACCTTATCCATATGCTATAGACCCTTTAGGTTACTACTAGAACATTATCCATCTGTATATCAAATATATACACTGTATATTAAATATATACTGTATATCTGTTATATACTGTTCCAGTTACATGATATAACCTCGGATGTTAGTTTATTGGATTTGGGTTAATCCAATTCTATTAATAACAACTTTATTGAATGAATATTTGTTTTATGTTTACAAACCACGAGTTTAGGGCATAAAACCCAACACACCTTCCATTAGAGAAGAGGAGCATGACGTAGACAACAAGTAGACGTTGAGCAAACAAACCAACATCGAAGAAATCCTAACCTTGAGGTTCAAAATCCATAATTTGAAGGAATTAACAGAGGAGAGGTGGTTGCGCCTGTAGCTGTTCCTCCTCTTAATGTCATTCCGTTGGTTGATGATGGAGACAGGACTATTAGAGCCTATGCTTCTCCTGCACTACATGGATTTCATTCGGTTATAGGAAAACCAGAGATAGAGGATGACAAGTTTGAGCTAAAACCTGTCATGTTTCAAATGCTCCAAACAGTGGGTCAGTTCTATGGAAATGCATATGATGACCCCCATATGCACTTACGACACTTCGTCGAAGTGAGTGACTCTCTCAAAATGCAAGG